CCATTAATCAAAGGCAGGAAAGCATGGTACCTATTTGCTGCACAGGCGCACATTTTATTTATTTATTAATAGAAAGATTTATGTGCACCCTTTCAGGTCCCACGATTGATCCTAAGGCAGCTCACAAACCCTGATGTGCTAAATACTGAAAACAGTGAAAAACCTTCCTGAAAACCAACAAAAATAGCTTGATGCCCCAACCTGCCCATCAACAAAGGAGCCGGTCGTACCTCTCTTGGGAGAGAGCTCCACACCCAGAATGCTGCCACCTCTATCTGTCAGGCTTCAGGGAATCGGTTTCCTCCCCCTATGGTAGTGATAGGCAGAACAGAGGGAATGGAGTCTTCTTACCGGTTAGAAACTTTAATAATCACAGCAAGAGAACAAAGAACACATCTCCTAGAATGGTGGTGCTCCCAATTAAGGATTCCACCTCTTTCTGTCTCTGTTAGTCCACGTCCCTTCTACGTCTCGTATACCTCTCTGCTTTCCGTTCTGACACTTTCTGAGATCTCCGTGACTTTGGGGGGTAAATGCTATCCAGAGACTGTGAATCTGTTAACCCTCTCTCTTCCAGTGTTTCTTCTCTTAGCTGTATCCAGTATTTCCCAGCTTCTGCCTTCTGAACTGTGCCCCTTTGCAAACCACTGTTCCAAATCTATACTGTCCTCCTGCTCCTGGGAAGATGCAGGAGCAGGGGGAGGGGAAGGCTCCCACCATTCCTCCTCATTGCTGCCCTCCTCAGCACTGTCCCTGACACTAGCCAGTATTCCTTTGATGGTGGAACATAGAGCAGGACCCATGAGACCCCACTGGAGGAAGGAAGGTCCATACAGGAGGAGTTGGGGAAAGCCTTGCCCCAAACACTGTCACTTTGCATCCATTTTTATAAGTAACGGGCCGAAACTTTAATATCAGACTTTTTAGGTGGGTGTACTCCCCTGAACATCTGTTTCCGTTATCATGCCTTTCTTACGTGTTCCTAGGAAGAAGCGGGAACTCATCATGATTTTCAGCTGAGGGAGCAGAATGAAAATGAACTTTGATAAGGTTTTCTGTAAACAAAAATATTGCATCTCTTGAAGTCAGTTACCTGACAGAAGACATTAGAGCAGAGGAACCTGAGATTGTGTTTAGACTTGGGCATGTATTGTTAAATGTGACATGCTCAATTTATCATTAGTTATGAAGTGAAAACGGATGAATACACATTCAATTTAGTTCAGCTGCTTTCTTCATTTATCACACTCTTTCATCATCCATCATTCCCCCCTCGCACCCCTTTTGATTTAAACAAATAACACACTTTCATAAGTTTAATCTAATTAATCATAATTGTAATGTAATGTTCCCTTAATGAACCATACATTGGGCTTTATAAAGTTTGCTGCAGATTTTAATAAAATCAGCTCCAGATAGAATCTACACCTCGTCTTGTTTTCCCCCAAAACTACCAACCACTTTTCCTGTTATTGTTTCAGCTGATAATGATGATGACAGATCGGTCACTCGAGCGAATTGTCCTTGTAGACAGAACAACAGTTCCAATATATTGGAAAGTGTTCATCATTATATGAGACAAGATATATATTTAAGGACAGGTTAATTGAAGCAGAAGCAAATCAGAAAATCAACCCAATGGATTTTTCCACTTTATCGCTGCAGAAGAGGCAATACTTCCTATCTCGCTGGGCCATCACAAACACCACTGGCTGGGGAAAGGAAGTGTTAGCTCACTTAAGAAATGGGAGAAGACTGTTCAGATATTCTTCATCATATTTACCTCTTAATTTCTCACATTTCTATTTCTCCTCTTCATCCTGGAGAAGAGTGACTAGTGGGGTGCCACAGGGTTCTGTCTTGGGCCCGGTCTTATTCAACATCTTTATCAACGACTTGGCTGATGGACTCAAGGGCATCCTGATCAAATTTGCAGATGACACCAAACTGGGAGGGTGGCTAACACCCCAGAGGACAGGATCACACTTCAAAACGACCTTGACAGATTAGAGAACTGGGCCAAAACAAACAAGATGAATTTTAACAGGGAGAAATGTAAAGTATTGCACTTGGGCAAAAAAATGAGAGGCACAAATACAAGATGGGTGACACCTGGCTTGAGAGCAGTACATGTGAAAAGGATCTAGGAGTCTTGGTTGACCACAAACTTGACATGAGCCAACAGTGTGACGTGGCAGCTAAAAAGCCAATGCAATTCTGGGCTGCATCAATAGGAGTATAGCATCTAGATCAAGGGAAGTAATAGTGCCACTGTATTCTGCTCTGGTCAGACCTCACCTGGAGTACTGTGTCCAGTTCTGGGCACCAGCAGTTCAAGAAGGACACTGACAAACTGGAACGTGTCCAGAGGAGGGCAACCAAAATGGTCAAAGGCCTGGAAACAATGCCTTATGAGGAACGGCTAAGGGAGCTGGGCATGTTTAGCCTGGAGAAGAGGAGGTTAAGGGGTGATATGATAGCCATGTTCCAATATATAAAAGGATGTCACATAGAGGAGGGAGAAAGGTTGTTTTCTGCTGCTCCAGAGAAGCGGACACAGAGCAATGGATCCAAACTACAAGAAAGAAGATTCCACCTAAACATTAGGAAGAACTTCCTGACAGTAAGAGCTGTTCAACAGTGGAATTTGTTGCCAAGGAGTGTGGTGGAGTCTCCTTCTTTGGAGGTCTTTAAGCAGAGGCTTGACAACCATATGTCAGGAGTGCTCTGATGGTGTTTCCTGCTTGGCAGGGGGTTGGACTCGATGGCCCTTGTGGTCTCTTCCAACTCTATGATTCTATGATTCTATGAATGGGTAGATCTTACCTCCTCAAAGCACAACTCTCTTGAGTTTGTTTCAAGTCACTTCCTAACTCGAAAGGGAAGTAGCATGGCTGTTCTGAGCTCCTAATAGTGCAGCCATTGTATATGGCTGTTTTGGATGAGGTGGCCAATCTTGTGAATGGGCACGGGTTGGACATTGCAGCAAGCGTTTGCAAACGCGCCAAGTTGCATTCTCCGGCTGTAAAAAACACATTTTCTTCTGGAATCAATAGCAGGTGGGTACTTGTTTTTTGCTACACAGTTCACACACGATCTGGATCAGCTGTATATTTTTGGACCCCCAAAAAGCGCTTCTGGAGAAATTGGTTTCATTCTGAAAATAAAAGCTCATTGCTGAGTGATTCCGCAGCTCCTCACTTGAAAGCAGATGTAGGTGGTCATAGCAATGAAAGGTGTGGTCACACCTGTCTAATTTTGGGGGCCTCAAAATTTAGAAGATGGGGGGGATTGAGCCTTTGGGGAGGATTATTTGGGGGGGAGGCAAAAAATCGCTCACCCGCCAGAACGCAGCACACAACCGCTCGTGTCGCTTACAAAAAAGGTTTACATACTGCACTCCCATAAAATATCAGGGTGGTGTACAGCAGTATAAAAACTTAAAACCCTTAAAAGCAGTCTAGAACTAACATTAAAATAGATGATACGCAGGATCTCAGTGATCAGGCTGGTATATAGCCGTGCAGGCTGTCCTTGAGGTAGTCTGAGGCCAAGTTGCTCAGGCCTTTGTGCCCATGCTTTAAGATAGTAGGGTTTGAAATCTGTTTTCCTGCCATTCTTGTAATTGCCTTCCCTGCCTTTCTCAATGCAATTGGCTAATTTGCAGTGGTGTCAGAGCGAGTCTGGCCAATAAGTGTAGGGCAGCTAAGCCCAACGGGTAGCTTCAGAACTAGAGGTACAAGAGGTCAATTTTTTAACGAAAATTAATAATACAGTGGTACCTTGGTACTCAAACAGCTTGGCTTCCAAACATATCAGCTCCCGAGCGCCGCAAACCCAAAGCTCCTGCAGCCAATTGGAAGCCGCGCCTTGGTTTTTGAATGGTTTCAGGAGTCGAACAGACTCCTGGAATGGATTAAGTTCGAGAACTAAGGTACCATTGTAAAATGAACTAAGCCATGTCCTCAGGCCCTGGGCACCATTGATTTTCCAAGGGTGCCTTGCTAGTGAGGAGTGGCTGAACAGCTACAGAGCTCTTTGCTGCAAAGGAACATGTGACCTTTGCTGCTTCTTGTGCAGCTGCTGCTGTTTGCCCCCAACTTCATAAGCTTGCTTGGCTCTTTCCCTTCCTATTCCCCACACTCCCGTTTCTGGTCTTACTTTTGCAGCAGAGAGAGATGTACATGGTTTGTCTGCGCCTCAATTCTCTCCCAAGTCAGATGCAATCGTGGTTACATGGAGGGGAAGAGAAAAATCACCCCTTCGGAGGTTTCGCCCATCAAGTAGATGATCAGTCAAAGTCCTCCAAACACTTTAGCAGAGGTTGCTGTCACTCTTCCCATTATCCTGGCTCTGTGGGCTCCAGTCCCCCTGTCTCCCCCACGCTGCTCTCCCCATCACTTCCGTAATGCCCCTGACAAGCTTTGGCTCTGCAATCTTCTCGGTGACACTTTGCCCCTCTGCTCGTCCTCCGTTTCTCCTTGCGTTTCCTCCGGCACAGCTCCGCTAATGCCCCGAAAGCCGTTACTTGCCATTAGAAAATGGCCAGAAGCACGGCTATCAATTAACGTTAAGTGTAAAGCATGAGCTCTTGTTAATCATTCATTATCCTCGCGCTGCAATAGCACAAGTCGCAGGAGTAGCCTGTCCAATAATCCTTACGGCCCCCAAGGTGCCCATCAACTGCAATACTGATTACTAAGCTCCTGCATTATCCGGAGGAGATATATATGAACAGAGTCCCGCACAATTTATAGGATGTCACCAGCAGCCGGAGAGTTCGGTCCCAGCGTCCCCTGTGACATTGCAAAGGATCCTGGAGCGCACCTCTCAAATCGGGCTTTGTGGCCTTCATGCAGCCTTAGAAAATCGAGAAGCTCAGTGCTACAGCATCTGCTTTGCATGCAGACCCCAGCTACCATCCCTGGCATCTCAAGGCAGAGACGGGAATGTTCTCTGAGGAGCTGGTGGCAGCCAGTGTTGACCATACACAGCTGCAGGGACCAGCTGTGGTTCAGTGGTATCAGCATCTGCCTTGCATGGACAAGGTTCCAGGTTCAATCCCTGGAGTCTCCAGATAGGACTGGGAGAGAATTGTGCCTGAAAACAAGGAGCATAGCTGTCAACTTTTCCCTTTTTTTAAGGGAAATTCCCTTATTCCAAATAGGATTCCTCGCAAGGAAAGGGGAAAGTTGACAGCTACACCCAGGAGAGCCCCTGACAGTCAATGCAAATGACACTAAGTTAGATGGAGCAACGGTCTGACTCATTCAAAGCTAGCTCCCTATGTCCCCAACAACAAAACTTGGGCCTGGCCCCCGGGTGTCATGGCAGGACACTTAAAATGGTAATTCAGTTACAAAGGCATACTTAAGTCTAGCTTAAAATGGTGGCTGAGCTTGGAGCTCAGACAAAGCGGATGTTTGCACATTGCTGGCAGAGCAGAAAGAGATGGAAAGAGGAAGGAGATGTGCCCAGGCAGGTAGGAGAATATATATCTATGCCCTCCCCCTGTCAGGGCACAGTGGGAGTGTCTCTCACAGAGTTCTCTCTAGGAAACTTAAGGGGGAAATCTGTGAGCTTCAGCTCCTATCATGTGCTCATCTAGCAAAACATGAATTGTTGGTTTGGCCGAATTTTAAATATCCTACAGTGCCTCCATGGCAACTACGGTGGCCGAAGAAGGCTAGGTGATGGCTGGCACTCTCAATGGCACAGATATGGTGCATGGCAACCAGAGAACAGGCCTTTTCTGCAGTGGCCCCACACATGTAAAATCCTTGGACAACTGACTCTGTGCTCATTATGGGATCAGTCATTTGAACAGGAGTTTTTACCTCAGCTGTGGTTGTTGTTTTGACTTTGCTTGGTTCAGTTCTTTGTACACAGTATTGCGTTTTGCATTACTGTTTCCTCCTCTTCCTCCACATTGCGTAAGCCACACTGTGGGGAATAAATTTGGAAAGGTGGACTAGATGGGCCATTGGTCTTGTTGTTGTTAAAATTTGTATACATCCCTTCATCTGAAGATCACAGGGCGGTTTGCAACCTAAAATTACAAAATGAGGACACAAAGTACCTAACAAAAAAACAAAAACAAACTAATAATAATAATAATTTATTTTTATCCCACCCTCCCAGGCCGAGGCCTGGTTCAGAGCGGCTAACACAATAAAACAACACATTATGCATAAAAACATACATCAATCAATTAAAATACATCTTAAAATTAATTCCGACAAGTTAAAATCTGGGCAGGTGGCAATTATCAGGTTGGAATTGAGAGTGGTTAATACTTGCCAGGACCAACTGTTTCCACTGATCATACAAGGACCTGTGAGCAGGTTGGGGGTCTCCTTCGGGCTTGTTTTATACAAAGGAAAGCAAGTCAAACTGCATCCTGCCCAAAGGCCTGGCAGAACAGCTCCGTCTTGCAAGATGGAAAGATGTCAAATCCTGCAGGGCCCCGGTCTCTTGTGGGAGAGCGTTCCACCTGGCTGGGGCCACAGCCAAAAAGGCCCTGGCTCTAGTCGAGGCCAGTCTAATTTCCTTGGGGCCGTAAGGTCCTCCGTGGGGCATACCAGAAGAGGCGGTCCTGTAGATACGAGGGTCCAAGGCTGTATAGGGCTTTTAACCCTTCTCCCGCAAGTACATTGTTCCTATGTTCTTATTGTCTCTGACTCTTGGCCATGCTGGCTGGAGCTGATGGAAGCTGGAGTCCCAACAACATTTGGTAGGCCACAGGTTCCCCACCTTTGGTTTATAGCAAGCAGAGGCGCATTCTAAAACGCACATGTGGCAAAGCATCCTAGGATAGTAAAGAAGATCTGCTTGGCCACTGCCAATTGCTAAATAAGAGCATAATTAATTATTTTTTTCCACCAAATCACCCTGAATCCTACCACAAATCAATGGGCTCTCCTAGCTGAAGATGCACTGACTCTATTTTAGCTCAATGAAAACAAAATCAATGAAGGCCAATTATAGCCCATCTCATTAGGGTATGCAAATAATGGGCCATACAAATCAGAATTCAAATCCCCGCTCCCAGTAGCAGCAAAGAGGAGAGAATCACGTTGGAGGTGATTCAGAGAAATGTGTGTGGTGATGCTGGCCTCTAGCTGTTACATGCTCAGGATGCCGGCTTGTGTTGTGGGATTTCCTTCTAGCGCATTCAAAAGGAACAGGCAATAGGTTTTCCTTTCGAAGAACATCCATTCTCTGCTTGCAGTTCACTCTGCATTCTGCCTCCCGGTAATCAGGTACCTTGGTCTCCCGAACATATTTCAGCATAGAAATTTCACAGATGGCCTACGCTGCTAGAAAATGCTAATGCATGCATCCGAGGAAATGGGAGATACCTCTTTTTGAAAAAGCTCAACGCTTCCGTAATCTTCATGCTAATACCTGGCGAGAAGCCACTTTCTGGAACATGAGATTGTTCGGCAAAATAGACCAATGACAATTACCTAAATTTCTTGGGAAGTAGCATAATTATTTCCAGCCACAGATTGCAGCAAAATCTTGTCCAACAGGACACAGGGCAGGGGTGGACCTTAGTAAGATGCCACCCTGTGCTAGGCCATTTGATGCCCTCCTGCCCTCCCTCATGGCGCTGGCTTAAGCCAGGCTTTGGGGAAGAGTTAGGAGGGCTCTAGGAACCTGCCAGAGCCCTCATGCTCCCTGCCCGGTGCCGGGCAAGTGCTTACCAGACTTTGAGAATGAGCCCTTCTCAGCTGTGCACCCAGTGCAACTGCGCAGCTCGCACTCCCCTAAATTTGCCCCTACACAGAGGTGTGCATAGCAGTATTGTGAGTTTGGAGAGCGAGAGTAGGCTGTAGGCCAGGGCCCTTCTAATGCCTGGATCCAGCAAGTGTAAGCCAGGCTAGCTTCCTAATGAGGTGATGGGCCATTAAAGGGGCTCTGTGCGAGACGGCCAATGGATGGGCCCTCAACCTGTGAATCGTTAGAAAGACACAGTTAGAGTTGAGAGCAGAGAGTTGCAGTGCTGTAAGCTAGAAGCAAATCAGCAAGCTGGAGAGAGTCGAAGCGATGTTTGATTTTTATTTGAATCCAAGATGGGAGAAGCAAGGCCCTCTTGGAGGGTTAATGCTGTGAACCTCTCCATCATAGGCTCAGGTTGTATATATTTGTCAATAAACCATAGACCATAAAGATACCACAGTCTCCACTGTGCCTCAGTTCCTGGACCCCTGGAATCACACACCACTTGGAGATTGGGGTGGCACGCAACAGTAGTATATGTAGCTAAATCTTAGAATCATAGAATCATAGAGTTGGAAGGGACCCCAAGGGTCATTGGGTCCAACCCCCTGCAATGCAGGAATCTCATCTAAAGCATCCATGGCAGGTGGCCATCCAACCTTTGCTTAAAAACCACCAAAGAGAGGAGTCCAGTGTTGGAAGTAAAGCAACAATACTTTGAATAAGTCACTGAATCAGTGGGGGGAGATAGAAAGGCAACTTATTCTTCTCTCACTGATTCCTTCCTGTGTAACCACTTCTTGTCATGTAGAGCATGTGTCTCCTCATGCTTTACTTCCTTCCTTCCTGCTGCTGCTTCAGATAGGTAGTGTTAGACCCAAGGCTAGCCTGCTCATGAGGCGGGCTAAGGCATCTGCCTCAGATAGAACCCCAAGAATCTATGCCCTCACACACACCCCCACCCCACTGCTTCTGCTGGGGAAGGGGCATCCCTAATGACAGTGGTTTCTGGTGAGATCTCACAAGACCTTGTTTGCTCTGCAATCTCACCATGACTCCCCACAGTGGCTGCCATTTTGCAGGAGCTGCTACACAACGTAAGTAAAGGAGGCTTCTGGCAGTTCCTTCACTGTGGGAAGTGAAGTTCCAGAGAAGCGGACACGGAGCAATGGATCCAAACTACAAGAAAGAAGATTCCACCTAAACATTAGGAAGAACTTCCTGACAGTAAGAGCTGTTTGACAGTGGAATTTGCTGCCAAGGAGTGTGGTGGAGTCTCCTTCTTTGGAGGTCTTTAAGCAGAGGCTTGACAACCATATGTCAGGAGTGCTCTGATGGTGTTTCCTGCTTGGCAGGGGGTTGGACTCGATGGCCCTTGTGGTCTCTTCCAACTCTATGATTCTATGATTCTATGATTCTAAGTTACAGGGAACCGGGCAGAGGGCCTTCTCGGTAGTGGCGCCTGCCCTGTGGAACGTCCTCACATCAGATGTCAAAGAGATAAATAATACGACCTTCTGTAAACATCTGAAGGCAGCCCTGCATCAGGAAGCTTTCAATGTGTGATGTTCTGTTGTGTTTTTGTATATTCTCTTGGAAGCCGCCCAGAGTGGCTGGGGCAACCTGGTCAGATGTGTACAAACACACACACACACACGCAAATTATTGTTAGGGTTAGGGTTAAATCCTGACAAGACAGAAGTACTGCTTTGGGGGGACAGGAGGCAGGCGGGTGTGGAGGACTCTCTGGTCCTGAATGGGGTAACTGTGCCCCTGAAGGACCAGGAGTGCAGCCTGGGAGTCATTTTGGACTTGCAGCTGTCCATGGAGGTGTAGGTCAATTCTGTGTCCAGGGCAGCTGTTTACCAGCTCCATCTGGTATGCAGGCTGAGACCCTGCCTGCCCGCGGACTGTCTCACCAGAGTGGTGCATGCTCTGGTTATCTCTCGCTTGGACTACTGCAATGCTCTCTATGTGGGACTACCTTTGAATGTGACCTGGAAACTACAACTAATCCAGAATGCGGCAGCTAGACTGGTGACTGGGAGCGGCCGCCGAGACCATACAACAGCAGTCTTGAGGAAGCACCTTCCCATTTTGCCTCGGGTGGCAAAACATGATGTGCTGCCCCTGGTTTGACCTTCCTCTTGTTAACTTCTGGTCCCATACGGGCCACATGTAAGCCTGTGCTCATAATAGTGTTATTTGCCAGGAGTAATAAACCTTACGTTTCTTTATTCTTTTGACCAGCAGTCTTACCAGACAATTTATTTTTGTGTGGCAAGATATATATGCCAAACTCCCAACATCTGAGACTGTCCTCTGTGATGTAGGAAATGTGACTTCCTTCA